CCCCCCCCCCCCCCCCCCCCCTCCCTCGGCGGCGGGCGTCGCAGTTGCGGCGGCCTCGGCGTGAGCCCTCTCCCACTCCTGAACCATCTCCCACCCCTTTTCGTTCACGGCGTTGTGGATGGCCAGGGTGGACGGCATGTCTGCCGCCGAGGCCTTGTACCCCTTCCTCTTGATGGCGTTGTAGTACTGCTGCTCCGACGGGTAGACCCACTTCTCGGCCTCCTTCTGTACGGTGGTGGAGGTTTGTAGGGAGACAGGGGGTGGGGGGGCGGGGTAGAGAGAGAGCTCAGTAAACTTGGAACAGGGACCTCGAACCAAGTGCGAGAAGCAAGAGCGGGTTCGGTGCTTCAGAGAGTTTCCATGGAAGAAAAGATACTGATTCCATATGACAGGATTAGGATTCCATGGAGGGTTGGAAGCCCTCACGCATGGAAAACGCATCCAACGCTCCAACAAACCCATACAAATAAGTAGATTGACAGAAAAGGAGCAAGGGAGACAGAATCACACAAGTAGAAGGTTAAAATACTACGCCAGCGCATTCCGGCAAGCCGATTCCAGCCCTTTACGCATACATTTGTCACGCAGACAAGAAGCATACCAGGGAATATTCTCAGTCTTCTCTTTTCCACACGTTGTGCCACCATTCCTGATACGGCCAAGCCTGCTGTGAGTGCTCCAAGCTGTACATATTCCTTCGAACATCATTGCGTTACAATATGCTGTTGCGTGGGAAGAACCATCGGGGAAGGGATCCCAAGACTTCGGTACCCAGCGCTGTGCCGTGACCTGAATGGCATTGGCATCGACCTCGCCCATCGTCGGTGTAGACAGCAATGTCCATCTCAGTTTTGTGCGCGGAGGCAGACGCCATCAGAAAGGTGGACGGGCACTATGTACACGGCCCTAGGTTTTGCTAGAGGGAGCTGTACTGACTCAGTAACCTGGCTTCGCCATCCAAGGGGAGGAGGGAACAGGTGGTGACGAGCTGAGTGGGCTGGTTGACCCTTCGGCGCGAGAATTTTCAGACCAAGAACCTTAAGTGCAACGAGGGAGAAAGCGAGGAACCGACTGGGAAGGACAGCAACGAGAGCGTGTACGGACGGAGCGGGTCGATTTTGGTCGTGCTAGGACTGGCCGCAGCGACACCGGAGCAGCGGCGCCGGAGCAGCGGCATCGAGTAGCGGCGCCGGAGCACACGGACGACATCGAACCGTGACGAACAGACGAACATTTTGTGTTGACAAATATTTTCCGTTTTTTTCCTGAACATTGGTGTGTATGTGATGACGTCACTGGTTTTGTAGAGAGACGCGGCAGAGATGGCGCGGATAGCCCGGGTGCCTTTATTGTGTACCTGCATCGTGGAAGACCCCTTCAATGTGGAACGATTCCTAATCAGTGTCGAGTATTTACACTGCTGTGTCCAACACAGATGATCAGGGGTAGATTCGGTGATTGTCAACTGCAGTATGGCTTTGGTTGGTTGTTCTTTTTCACTGTATGTCCACGGACGCATTCTGACAGCACTTCAGGCAGCAGTTGCGCGCCCCGAACTTGTACCATGCCTACCATGGTGTTACTGTACAGGCAGCACTCCAGACAGCTGTGCGCTGTTGTCGGCATTCATTTTGGTGTGTACAAAAGGACAGGGGGGATGATGCTGCTGTATACAGTACTGTAGTCGAATGTAGTGTGTGGACGGGTAGTTCAGTTTTAGGGCACGCAAACGTGCTGCAGGGATGAAGGTGTACCTCTTCGGGCTTGTGTACCCTTTTCTTGCTAGTTTGCGCGTTCTTTGGATCTTCTGATGGCTCTAGCATTTTTGTGACCACGGACCGCGTCTTTGCTAGATTTTGGGATTAGCAACTGACACGAGTTTAATGTGAAGACAACAACAACAACAACAACAGGCTCGCGCCAGCGACGCTGGCAAGGCCGTCCTCCAGCGCATTCCAAGGCCACAGGAATGGTCGTGCCAAGAGCTGGAAACGCAAGGAACTCGTGTAGAACCGACCGTTTGGTCCGTGTGAAGTTGCGCACTTTGCGCACAGCAGACCTATCGAGAGTATGTGGTCGATCGAAGCTGACTCCATGCTGCCCAGTGCGGGGTGACTCTGCTAATTGTATCCCGGGTGGGATAGATACAACCTCCTCCGTTTTCCTCGCACCAACGCACCTGGGGCTGATGGTCCGGGTTGAACTCTGCCTTCGGGATCGAAGAGCGTTGCCGCGACGTGGACAGGGGAACCTCCTGCCCCGCGGCCACCTCCTGCCCGTAGACGTACTCGTTGTTCCGCGCGTTGTACAACTCGGGTGCTTCTGGCGCTGGTGCCGTGGCCGAAGAACCGTCGCCACCACCTCCCGCCCCACCGATGCTCCCTGTCAGGTACCCCCACACTCTGCCCAACCCTCCTGCCGGGGCTGCTGTTGACGTTGCTGCCGAGCCATGCTGGACGGGACAGCCGGACGAAGACGACGACGACGGGACGGCGTCGTCGCCTCCGTCCTCCCGCGAGCTGTTCACCGGACACCCCCCACCGCCGCCGCCGTGTTCCTCCTTCGTTCCCCGCCGAGCCGTGCCGCCTTGAATGGCTGCTGCTGCTGCTGGCGCTGCAGCTCCACCGCTACCCTTGGCAGCGCTGGCGTCACTGCCGCCGCCGCCCTGGCGGAAGGGAAGCCAGGCGGCAACCCTTGATGACCAGCGTCCTCCGCTACCTTGCTCTGGCTCCGTCGCAGAAGCAGTCGACTCATTTCCGGCCGCCGCTGCTGTTGCTGCTGCTGCTGCTGACATCGACGAGGATTCTTTCGGCGCGTGCTGCACCGGGCACTCGCTACTACTGCCAGCCATGCTTCTGACGGCAGTAAGGACGACTGTGTAGCTCGCCGTCCTGCTGTGTGCGGTGTGCAGCAGCGGCGATGTGGCTGCGTGTCATCACATGCTCTCGGGTCTCGGGTGGGCTCCGTGAATCGGCATTGGTTCGGACACGTACCGCCGTCCACAGCACGAAGCCCCTTCGGCTGGGCTTTGTGTGCGGCGGCACGCCCACAGAGCAGCACAAATTAAGGCGGGCCTTAGGTCGCGGAGAAGATAGGGCCAGGGGAAGCGATGGAATCGGATGGTGACTTTCCGCAGGAGGAGTTCCTTCCCAAGGGGTGAGACAGCAAGGGATGGGGATTTTTAAAAGCGCATTGTGTCTCACAGAGATCGAAAACAAAGACCCCCAACGATGCGAACAGATCAGTCTTTGTTCTGCTTGCCCTCGGTCGGCGATGTTGCCTTTGTATGCGTGCATATACAAATCAGCGGAAAAGTCAGCTGCTGTGGGCTTGTTTGTGCCAGATCTTGTACCAGATCTCAGATCTGGGGAGTGCTCCCGCGCTCGCTCCACAGATTTGTTCGATTTGAAATGCTTGGTCCCAGAAAGATCTTCACTTCGTACAAGAACAATTTGCGGTCCCACACGGCTACCTCAGCTACACCCCCACACGCCACACGCCACACAGCCCGCTTCTGCGCCCCAGCCGCCTTTCCTACACAGCCCCATTCTCTCGCCCACTGTTAGCTAGATGACCGCACGACACCCGTAGAACCGATGGACACGTGTAACAACAATAAAATCAAGCACCCGCACAGGACACCAAAAATGAATTGTTGATTGTTGATGCCCGCGTCCTCCACGGTACGTTACTTTAACTTTTCAAACACCCGCCGCCGCTTCGCGCAACATGAACATTCACACACACAGAAAGAGTGGCGATGTCTAGCACATCACGACCGACCGCTGTGCTCGGGTACCCCGGTACTATGAGATGCACTTTGTCAGCGTGTATGCTCGCTTGGCAGCCCAAGTGTGCGCTTCTCTCTTGGTACGATCCTGCATATGTACAGGTTCGCCTGGTGCAGTCTACGACTCCAGCCACGTTTGGTATGTACATGTTGCGTACGAGCACAAGCAGTCGTCGACACTGCTGCTGCTGTTTGGCCGCACTGCTGCTCATGCACGGGGCCTGTTCCCGTGGTGTGTGATTCGGTGTGTGTAGGAACCCTCCTCTACACCATGTACCATCGGCTACGTATGATGTATTTCTCGTGCATGCACTGCTGTTGCCGTCGGCGACACAGCAGCCACCCTTTGTGCACATCCTCAGCAGAGATGTCAGTTTTCTCATGCACGGAGACCACCGCTGTAGCTAACGGCTACAGCCGAGCCTCATCAACCAGCGAATTTCGTGCTTGCAAATTTTGTCACAATGGACCCCACACAAAGACAAACACTCTGCTGTTTCAAAGTTTCATTCTGCCCAAGAAAGGTCTCGAACGGATAGCCGTTCTGTGACGTCAAGACTAGTGGTTTGGCCGAAGATGGAGATCGGTTTCCGAGAGGAAGGAGATACATGTACATGTATCCTGCTTGCTGTCTGGAGGGATATAAGATGTGGCCTTAAGGAGGTCGGTGTCTCGGGTCTTGTCGGCTTGCGTTGGGAACAGGCAAACATACGTTGTCTATCCACCTCTCTCCTTGTGTGGAAAAGAAGGACAACACTTGCGCATGTTTCATGAAATAGAAACGTCATGTTGACGGGGAAACGGAAAACAGCGCGGAGAAACCACAAGTGGGCCCAGCGCAGGGGACGAATAAGGACAGTAACGTAAGCAGTAATTTACTCGCCGATGAAAACACTTCCTTACGTTGCTTGTGATTACTATATAAATATGGCTGGACACCGGACGAGGTGTCTCAGGAGCGGTACGTGCGATTGCCGCATGAAGGTGTCCGTGGGCATCAGCAGTGTTTCAGTGTTTCCTAAAAAAGGGCATCACCCACGAAAACCACGGTTGAACCAAGTGGGAATTTTCTTTTGACATCAGGGTCGGGTTCCGGTATCTGCTTCTCTCTTTCAACAAAGAACCGAAAACAAGGGGCCGCCACCACAGCTGACAAGGTTGGCTCGACGGTACCGCCCGCCGGCCCAAGGTTTAGAGCCGTTGGACGTCGGCTTGATCCGGGGGGAAAGTATTTCATTCATCCGTGCAGGAAGCAATCAAGCCGACAGAAGGAACGGTTCACTACTCTTACACGATCGGTTCAATTTTCCGGCTGACATTTTTTTTGTTGAAAGTTACAGGAAGGCTATCTACCCGTTCGAGATATTTCCGCAGTTGAAGGGGATGCTTTGAGGTCTTTACAGTAGTGAGTGGGAGAAAACCCTGCTGGACACTGGGCTTATTTTGAGTAATTTAACGCCTATTTTTTACCTCCGGAGAAGCAAATTATTTTTCTCAGTGGTGCCAGCAGGTACTATCCACGATACTCGCCGAAGGAGGAAGCAACAATCACTGTCGGGATTTGGAACGTATTTAAGCCTACAGGTATACACTGAATGATTGTCAGTGCACCAGCTGGTGCTAATCACGATACTCGTCGAAGGAGAAGGGAGCAAGGATCACAGTCAGGATAACGGGCGAATAACCTACCCTTTTGGGTGGGACTTTTTTGGGCTCTAGGGCCCATCTCTACGGTTCAGCGAATGCAGCACACACACGGTTCATGCTTTCCAGGCTTGCGTGCGCAGTGTGGTGCCATACCGCCATGGAGAACCCGGGCGGCCTAAGCCGAGGATACATCCCCGGCGACTCCCCTCCAATACACATATAATTTTCCATTTTCCACCTCACCCTCGAATAAAATCAAGAATCGAAGGAAGAAAAATTCCAGCCATCTATGCATAGCTGCAACAATACCGCGCGCGCTCTCGAACTCAAAATGACGAGTCCCTGCTATCCGCATGCTACTAAATACCGTGCGCATGTACGCGTGTACGCGTGTACCCTCCCTCCTAACCCCCCCCCCCCCCCCCCCCC